ATTGGCATTTACATTCTTGGGATTTTTTTTTTTTTTTTTTCTTTTTAAAAATATTTTTGGAACAGAGGAATACGACCAACACAAAATTATGATGTAACTGATGGGTAATTCGGATATTGATGTTTGGGAATATTGGAGAATTTTTTTTTTTTTTTTTTTTCGGCAGTCAACCATGTGCATACATTCTTTCTTTCTTGATTAATTCTAATGAGCGATTCGCAATAAAATCTCATAATCTTAATTGGTCGCCACGGCGAGGCGCAATTTCTTCTTGCAAATCATGTGAAACCATGGTTTTTACATAAGCGTCTTGGGAACCAATTAAACTATATATAAGTGCCGTATCTTTTATGGGAAATCATAATGATATAAATTTTTATTATATCATATATTGTATATATTATGTTTATTATACAACAATATAATTTGTTTTTTTTTATTGATACATTAAACATTAACAATAATCTAAGCAATTTATAGTATTTATTATAAAGATAATAAAACAAAAAAATATTTTAAAAAATAATATTATAAATATTCAGAAATAAAAATATATATTGAAATGTTATTATTTGATTTGATTTATTGTATATTATTTAATATTTAAAAATATATGTAAGTTATCTTTTATTTCTTTATTATCGTGGTGGTAGCGATTAAAAAGTAAAAGTACTTGAGGATAGGTAGAAGTGGTGAAATATATGTATTTATATATATATTCGAAGTGGAGATCTGAAAAATTGCGTGAGAAATGTGCAGGTGGTATTTGTACTAAAATTTTAGTCTACAGCTATTAATAAATAAATAAATAAGTCAATTAATTCAATGTAACATACTCGAATGACTTTTTTATACATCATGAATAGGTGGAAAAGGTTCTGCGAATGAAATGACTTAAAAAGAAAAAAAAGCATTTGTTATATAATTTAATTGAAAAATTATATATCAATCATTCCATATGTTGTGTAATTCATGTGTTGTCGACTGCACCTTTCGACCTTTATCACGATTTCTTGCACACGCCGAGAACCGATGCACCGATAAGAAAATAACGTTTATTCGGTTACACATTTTTATAACCACGAGATGTTAATTGATTCATTTATTATTTTTCTTTTGAATCTGCGGACGGTGATGAAAGATAACGAAGCGGAATAATAAGAACAGAAATCTATTCTTCATTTTTCTTCTGGAGGAAATCATTCCAATCCAATGGGAAAAAATCGAGAAAAATGAAATTCGATTTCATCATATCATTGGTTCGAGATAGACGCATTCTTAAACATTTTTTTTAAAATTACATATGTGACAATAGTCTTGTTAGGGATTAATCCTATCGGAAATCAACAACAAGGTAAACTTTAATCTTTTAAAAGTAACAAAGAACCAGATTGATTTTGATCTAACCAAAACGGTCATTGCTTCGATGCGTCGCCGATTTGTTTAGGGTCTTCAAATAGGTATTCATCGATCATTAGGTAAAAAACGGAGGTTTCTCCGTCTTTTATGGTACAATTATTTAAGATCAAACGACGGTGGTGGATTTCCATTTGCAGTAAACATGCTTCAGGTTCTTCAGCCTACTAATCTTTGCTGGTTCCACTCTTGTTTGACTCAATTCGAGTTGAAATCATATGAAAAGAAAAGATTTTTTTTTGTTACCGCAGTAAAAAGAACCAGTTAAAAAAAAGGTTACACGTACAATTTCTGTAACGATAATTATTGATTCTTAGATTCTTTCCATTGTGCCTTGCTTGGCAATAATTGCCAGGATAGTACGATGGGTGCGAATAATTTTATGGTAGAAAATACTGTTAATAAGATGATCATCCGATTTCACCGGTTTGTTCCTTAATGTCGGGTGGTAACGGAGACCGACGCTTTAAATTAATCATACACAGATTATATAAAATATGAAAAACAATTCCTATGGAACTCATTGAAAACCAAAGTTAGTCTCATTTTCGCCAAAATGAATTGATTCATGAACCCTAACTTTTTTCCTTTGAGCAATAAGATAAATATGGTTGTTAGAGTATATACGCATATGTGCATACAATCACGTTGCGACCATCAATCCTTTAAGTTACATGTGTACCACCTAAATCAAAAAGAACCGAAGAATTATTCGGATAATGGTGTGGGAAAATTAGATTGTTTATTATTATATTACTATTATCAATTTCACTTCATGACCAAACACCCTTGGCAAAAACAAAGTTCTTTCAAAGTATCCACGATTGTATGAGTCGTTGGAGGAAAGGAATGTCCCCCTTTTGTGCTAATTGGGAATTAAATCAAATGATTTCAGGAAAAAATGATTTATTTTTTTACCCCACAGTATACAAAAGTGGTAATTCCATTTGGATTTTCTCGTTCGGAAAAATGTTCGCACGGGAAATGTGACCTGGATGTGTTCTCACGGAAATGTGACCTGGGTATCATGTTTGCACGAAAAATGTGATCTTAATGTTTTTCGCGCGTGACTTTAACTAATAGCACATGATCAAAATTCGTGATTTAGATGGTTAGTTGAATAAATAAACCTTTTTAGTTTTTTATGTCTATGATTTAGTCTTTAAAATTTACATTATGCAAACATTCTTGGTGCTAAATTTAAAGCTATTTCGTCTCATCATTTTTTTTGTCTGCGTGGTTGTCAGGGATTGCTGTTTTTGTTGTAATTGATGGTAATTGTGATGGACAAAAGCTTTGAATTTGCGGACAATTTTCCCAAAACCCACCCACATGATAACCCAACCCAATATTATTACAATGTCTATCACAGCTACTATCCAAGGTATGTGATTTACAACGAATGGACATGAGGAATAATTGTATTCGAATCCTGATGATATGAAGATTCTTTTTAGAGATTTGAAATATTCAATGTGAATTGCTGAAAGAATGCGAAATAAAATACCTTCATTTCCATCACTTCCAATCCTTCTATGAATTTCGAATAGTCCTGCGTTCCCTCCAAATTCTCCCATAACTGACCTCACCGTAACCTCCCTGACCACCCATGTCTTTTCATCCACGCCCCCAAACCAATCAATCCCTTCGTCATCAAAGAAGGGACTTGTATTAACACCCAAAATTTCTTTTTTTCTCATCTCAAAATCAGATGTTTTATAAGCTTCCACCGAATCTTCTCTGCCTTCGTTCGTGCGTATGACGTAGGTTACATCGCATCCTTCATGGTCATGTCCCGCAAATATGAATTTGGGTTTGAGTTTGGTAAGAATGAATCGGGATGCGTTTTGTGACAGATGATTTTGTTCTTTGATGAAATCGTGCCTATGGAAGTTTGAAATTAGTCACAACGCATGTATCATCAATTGTCGGGTGACGGTAAGAACTGAACTCACTCGTCCAAAAGAGTCATTGGACCATCGACGCAAAGCCCTTCTCTTTTATATAACGGGATGTGCGTCGACAAAATCAACGGTATCTGGTGATCCTCTCGTTCGCGTTCTTCAGCCAAAGCGTCAAGGAAGGACCATGTTTCGGAACGTAATTGCTAAGTGATTTGAGTGATTTAAAACAAAAAAATTTTTTTTCATAACAATCGATGAAGATCAAAATAATCTTTAACATACCTCGTTCTGAGCTGGTCCATCCACATTCATAGAATTTACGACGGCCAACCTGTGAACTTTAACGCTCTCCAGGTTGTCCGTTGATTCTATAGATGGTATCCAACTATTGAAATTCATCTTACCAAATTCCTTTTCCCATCTATCCACCCTGTGCTGAGATATATCTCCACTATAGCCGATGTCATGATTCCCGGTTAAATTTATAAATTCATGGTCATACTCCTGCAAAATGTGTCATGGTCAAAACCGATATACAGCCATTTCACAATGCTCCAGGAAACCACTTACTCCTCTAGGATCACCAAATATCCACTTGTATCTCTTCACTCGCTTCTCAAATTCTCGATCATCGATCCATTGACTTGAGAACAAATCACCAAGTACTATGGTATGTGTAGGTTTTCGCGTAAATAGAGAATAAGGAGATACGAATGATGTGTAGACATGTCGGAAGTAGATGTCATTGCCAATTAAGTCAATTTCACCTGATTTCAATTAAAGGAATAAATTTTATTTTTCTTATTTCCTTTTCTTTAATTACAATGTTTGAAACCACACATGGAGAATCGGAAAGAAATGGTGTACCCCTTTTTCCTTGTCTTTCTATTTTCGCATCTCCTTCAATTTGCGGATCGGCTAAGAAAAGAATCCGTGCTTCCGAATCTATGATTGACAAAGAATATTAAAACCCGTTATCTCATAAATCTATGCTGGACCGACAACTTCATCTCGACTAACCATACCTTCCCACTTCCATCTGCAGAAGGCGGTATAATAATACAAGTAAAGGGTCGCTCCCAGAGCGCTTAAAGTCAAAGAACGGAATAGTGTGGAAAGTAGTTGCATTCGGAGTTTCTTAGCGTGACGAGGGAATAGGGGATAAACTATTTTTTGAAAACCGCTTCAAACACAGAAATCCTATTTGGCTTAGATGTTTTGTCACATGATCGGTCCCACAATTTCATTCTTTGTGGCAGAGCGATGTTATTTAAATTTTATTCATTGATAGTAATTTTGTGTTGATAAGAAAGGAGAGATAGTTGGCAATCCCCTTGATAAGGACGGAATTGGGTGTCAACCCTCAATCAACACGTAGTGTTAAGGCAATGTCAAACTCCTTTACGGAGTGCGACGTCTTAAAAATTTTTTTTTAGGGTTAATGTGGTACAGTTTGAAAGTTTCTTTGTCTTCTCGGAGTTCGTTTGATACGAATTAGCAATCTATTACTTAATTCTTTCCTCTCCCCTAAAATGAACCTCCCTTTGCCTCCGAAAGGTCACCCCAAAACCATTGAAGAGGTTCGGGCATTGCACAGACGTGTTGCCGTTGTCGTTTGGGGCAACTGTTATGGTAAACAAATTTAAATTTATGATCGTTTGAATTCACTCACTCACTCATTTCTTCCCCAAGATCGGACTCGGTTTTTCATTATGATATTATTGGTCATGTATCAAATATACCTTACCAATTTCTTTCTTGTTGTGCTCGATCTGATTATTGGAATTATTCCTTTTATTGGTAAAGTCATTTAATTTATTTATATGCGTCACCGTGCGGGTTTACAACATTACAAGGTTACTGGCTTGACTTTTCGTACAACGCAAATTTGCGTAATTTACATCTTCTCGAGACATGACTAAGAGAGATGTATGGTCAAGAGATACTGTTGTATTGATCAAGAGAAAGGAAATGTTTGTCAATAGGGGAAATGCAACATCTTTTCATGGCTTCAGTTTTCACCGGAACAACGTTCGTCTTTAATGAACGATGTTATTAATAAATAAATATTAAAACCGTGATTTATATTCGCCATGATTCATCTTTATTCATCGCCTCCATCGCGCTGCTATACTTTTCCGCCTTTTTTTCAAATTGTAATATCGCATGATAATAAGGGTGTTGATCATTACTTTTTCTTGGTTTTGGTAAACTTTTCGACGTCAGAAGTTTGTCCGCTAAATAACGAAGCCACTACCAATGCATGTTTGTTGACATTTGTTAGCAAAAAGAGGAAGGATCAGCGATTAAGGAATAAGGAATGGATACGCCATTTCGTTCAACTTACAAATACATTGGTTTTTGGCCAAAATGATTTCCAATCTCCCTTGGTCTCTTCGCGCATCTTCCGGTAAACATCATATTGGTGGTCACCTATAAAATTCGATCTCAACACGATTGCGTACTCATTAAAACGCGTGAACAAATGTATTCGACCTACCTTGGCCTGTAAAATAACTCTCATCTGAAATGTCTACATAGATAATTTCCTGATCTACATAATTTTGTACTTATTGAGTTTTTTAAAATTGCAAAAAATTTCCATTTTAAAGAATTTTGTTACACACCACGCTCCATCCGAGACAATGTATAGTCTATTATTGATGTCTTAATCCCAAATGTCGGCACTTCGACTTTTTTCGTAGCCGAAGCAATATCATACGAAATTCTTGCCTGTTTTGTATATTTTATCGTGATATTCCCCCAATGGAGATCGCGGTGCTAGAAAACAGACAAGTGACAATCTTAATAATTTTGACTGGAAGGAAGGGAAAAGAGCGATTTATGTTCTCCACATACTTCAAATTTAAGAGACTGACGATTTCAAATGCAAATCATTAGGTAAATTAATGCGATGTCAAAAACGGAAGTTACAATTCCAAAATTTTCACCTGTTCAACTTGCGCTAGACTCCAGCCTACTTGTGCAAGGAGACTCCACGCCTGTGCCCAATTCTTTAACCTTGCAATTTCCAGAGATTGGCCGCCATGCTCTTCAACAAAAACGATGTATAGTTGTCTCTCGTCAAAGTAGTCTACGCGAATGTTTCACCGGTTGGCATCATGTTGTTAGTTTGCACTCGACATGCGAATAAATGATCGTATAGAATCAGTGATACCTGGTCGACTGCTCTCCGATTTATGTTCCGCGTCCCAACCATCCCATTTATTCAGCAACAACTCTGGATATTTTCCTCGGCAAATGGCCACGCTAAAATCGTCGTGTTTGAGATGTGGAGATTAGCATGCAGATAGTAGCATATCTCGTAAGACTTTTACTTTATACCTGTATAGCTGCAAGAATCCGACCCTTAAATTGGGATCAAGACCGGTTCGTCCTCCCAACTCAAGAGTGGTCTTGACCTCTTGGGAAATATCTCTTATGCTGCACTGTTCTTCTCCGTTAATAAGGATTTCCTTGCCTCGCCCGAAAGGAATAATTTTGAAGACGCTTTTGACCTTTTTGGCAGTAAATTGAGGTGCATATGCGGCGAACACTTCAGAGAAACTTGCCTCTCCTATCTTCACCGCGCTCCTCATGCATCTATACACGTTAGGAGGTATTAAGCTTAGCAATATGAGATGAATCGCGTCACTGTGTTCGAATGGAGTTACTCACTCGACTCCGATATATTCATCGAAAGAGTATATTTTCTTTTGATCACATAATTTCAACAATGTTGTCAATTCATCTTCGCTCTCTTGACTCTTGTTTCGTAGCAGCAAACTGGCAACTTTCGTCAGTCCCGTGGTTATCATCATGGAAACACTCGTGTTGTTGGCGCCAAGCTGCTCAATGGTTTTTGGTTTTATTGTTTCCTGTGGCTTTTCAATCAACAGAACCTTAACCTCATTAGACGATGACTCCACTTCGTGCTCTTTACAAGAAGCTTGGTTTGCATAAATTTGGTCAGACTGGTTTTTGTCATTTTCACATTCTATCGGAGATGAAATTTTTAGTGACCGATTCAATTTAGGTTTAACCATTGTTTTGAGTTTTTTAATGGGCTCGATTTTTTTCACTTGCAATTGAATGTTGTTCGGATTTTTGGGGGTGAGCGGGAGACGACTATCCTCGGCGGATGATGACGTTTTACCATCTGCATTTTCCTTGGTTGACACCGAATGTTTCTCGGGTGATGCATTGTCCGGTAGCATGGAATTGTCGGTTAACGCATTTTCACGTCGTCTTTGCTCGCCTTCGAAAGTTTTCTCCTCATGCGACTCCGTTTTGTTAGGCGAGGTGCAATGTTTTGACATGGGAATATTTTTAACTAGTGTACTGCCTTTTGATTGCTGATTTTTTACGTGATTCAAGGTGAAATTGAAACTCTCCGAATTCACCGCGGAAACCGTGTCATTCTCGGCTTTCAACGCATTGGTTGCTGGAATTACGCGTTCATTTTGTTTTCTTCCATAAGTTTTGATTTTTTTGGTCTGACCTCCTAAAAGCTGGTACATCTTCTATGGATGATCGAAAATCAAAACAATGTATTCGGTGATATGCTAGTTTTGGTGATCTACCGAATTTGACGTGACGTATCCAGTTAGGTCACATGAGAGTACGACTATATTTTCTAAATCCGACTTCCTTCACATATCAGTATATCGAAATTTTTACCTCCAAACGGGAAACTGCACAAATGACTACGAGCGTAACAGAAGACCAATATATTCGCACGTTGGCTCAGTACATTCGTTCGAACGAACGACGGATATTTACAAATAATTCAAATAATTCTTCATCTCCGTCTTCGTCTTCGTCAGTCCTAACTGGCCACAGAAGGTCAGATAGTAGTGGCAGTTTCTCCATGACCAATCTTTGGTCCTTTTCTGCAGCTTTGACCAGCTCTTATCTGAAACAAGCCGTCTCGACAGCACCAACCACCCCAACTTCACCCTCGGGCTCTGCAGGCAGCCCCAAAAATATTTTGGTCACCCTTGATCTTCACCACTTATATCTTTTACTAGTGCGGTTTAGTGATTTGGGTCTCGATGTTGGCCCTTTTGAAGCATTCGCTGATAGTAAGCGGAGTGAAGGTGACAACATCGATATTGACATAAACGACCCTGTGGAGACAATGTCAGTTGCATCCGTGAATTCGGTTAGTTCGGTGTCGTCCGCCATGTCCTCGCTATCACTGTTTTCAGGATGGCAGGGGTGGTACAATGCCGCTCAAAAGAATGAAAGTATTCCAATAAAGCAAGAAGTACATTACATATATCGTGCATTTACCAAACTTTCTGGCCTTAAGCTTGCTGTCAATATACAAAAAAGGATTGATGGTTCGGATAATTGGTCCATCAACTCCATATTACCTTTACCCTTTTTTAAACAATTAACTCACTTGGAAGTCAACGGGATAGCTCCGAAAATGCTTGATGGATGGGATGTATTGCAAGAAAAATTGGAATATTTATCGTTGCAACAAGGATCGATTGACGACATCTATGAGTTATTCGTTGATAGTGTGGTTGACGGGCTGAAAAGAAGACAAAAAGACATTAAAGCCGACTCAGGTGATAATGAATCCCTCGACGGCGCAGGAAAATCCGTGGAATCTCGGAGAGTTCTGGTCGATTACTCGCCGGATAGCATCTTGCCGCCCAGGATTTGGGTTCAACTAAAAACAATAATCCTTTCGGACAATTCACTCACCTTCGTTGCAAATGAACCGCTTTCTTATCTAACCGAGTGCGTGCACTTGGACCTATCGAACAATCTATTAATTGCTGTTCCATCCGGACTTTCTCAGTTGTTTAACCTTCAACATTTGAACCTGAACAATAACATGATAGAGACAGTAACCGGCATTTATCAGATTCTTAATAATATTACGAGACTAGATTTAAGAAATAATCGAATTGAAAATCTGTGCGGACTAGAGAGATTATGGTCTTTAGAGCATGTGGACGTACGTGAGAATCGATTAAATGATTGGGAAGAAGTCAAAAGAATGACGGATCTACATGGAATAAAACATATTTACGTGGAGGGTAATCCATTCACAAAGTTCCAGGTTTGTTTCTTTTCTTCCCATTTACTGGATTTTTAACAAGAGCATCTTTATTGCAAGTGACCATTTCAATTAATGGAAATTTTTGTTTGATACCATTTTCTTCTTGTGATAGCCAAATTACCGAGTCAACATCTTCCAGGCTTATCGCGATCACGATATCGACGTCATTCTAGACGGCGCAGGTCCTTCGTATAGTGAGCGCCGTCAGTTAACAAATAATCGACCTATCCCGACTTCACACCATACACCTGTGGCTGTCATAAGCGGCGATACACCGCTTTCCACTAGTCCAGAAGAAGATAAGCCCATGCCAATTTTACGAACTAAGAAGAGTCTT